AACTGAAAACTGACTATGGAAAGTCGATAAATTATGGTTGGACAATTTCTAAGCTGATTGCCATGTTGTCGGTTTTGGCTTCTCAATGCTTCGAGAGTTATATCGCTCTCTTCTTTAGAAGGGATTTGGAACTGTTTCTTTTGAAGGTCAGAATGAGATGTCTCTCAAAATTTTGTAAAAATAAAATGTTTATCTACCAAAGATTTCAATGTTTTATTAATTGAATCAAAAAACTAAATTATTTGTACCTAATTAAAAATAAAATAAATATTTATTCATAACAAACAAGTAACAAAGTAAATATATATTACAAATAAAACAGGAACTCTTCTTAAAAATAAGTAATACTTGTCAGTCTATCTTCTTTTTCTTCTTAAAATTTCATTTTGTTCAATTTATTCAATTCAGTAATAATAATAACGATGTCACCAGCAAGAATTATTATATGAAAGATACGAATTTAATTATTTATGTGTGTAATATAAATTACAATATGTAGAAATAAATAAAATATACTTTGTTGCTATTGTCAATATTATGCTCTGAACATATTCATCGTTGCTTTGTCGAGACCTCATCACACACCAGCAGAACTTTTCTTTTATTAGATTATACACGGCAGGATGCTCACTTTCTAGTATAATTTCATCGTAATTTAATTGCTCTTGATTTACTTGCTGTTCTTGTTGTTGTTGTTGTAGTGTTGTTGTTGCTCTTGTAGCTGCTACACCTGTTGTTGCTGGTGTAGCGGATGCTCTTGCTGTTGATGCTGCTGCAAGATATATAAAGAAACAATGCATCATTCAATATTATACAATATTTTCACTTATGAAATCTTTCTATTTAAAAATTTCTCTACCTTATTGAGAATCAATGAAGCTGCTTCCATCTTCCGAATTATTCGATTTTTTGCTATAATATTAACCCGCTATTCGGTCAAGTTACAGTCATTGACTTCACATACTATTACCATACCTACTTAAATTATTTTCGAAACTTTTTATTTACCATTATAAAAACAAATTGTAATAATTATTGACTTGACTTCTAGTTTTTATGTTAAATACGTCCACGATATATCTCATTATAAAATAAAATTGGTTATTTGCTTACTTCACTCGTATTTATTATGCTACATTCACTTGGGACATATGGAACACTAGCGCCACCCCAACTTCTGCCATTTCTTGGACAAATTTTGTCAATTTTCCCATATGAGTTCGTGCTCCTTATCTAGTCTCCCTGGGAATAATAATCAAAATTTAAATTTACAACACCCTGAAATTCCACATACTTCTATCTCTCTATCTATCTATAGAAGTATGTGTGAAATTCACACCAAAACAAAACAGACA